CTTGAGAGTTTGATATATATTTAACGAATTTGTCTTTTTCAAAAAAAAAAAATAGAGGCATATGGTTTATATAGAATCCAAAAATTTGTTTATATGAACAATGATCTAATAGCCAATGGTTATAATATAAATTGTTCGACAATTTTTAGTGTAGTCACTATAAAGAACTAGCCATAAAATAACGAACATTATCAATTTGATGATTATAAAATAAGATATTATGAAGCATAATCTTGATCTTAGTAGGAAATTACTATATTGAAAATATTATTGTAAATTAGTAAAGCTTTGTATATAGGAGCCTAAGAAAGAATAGATTGATGGCCAACATAAAAGTGATCAAACCCATACATGAATTCTTTGAATATTGTGTATATATTTAGGGCATGCCCATGTAGGCATTTTGGTACTTATGCTAAAGAAGTAAGGGATTCTATCATATTGCCACCTGTGTATGAGGAAGTATAAGCTAGGGTTTCCATATCAAAGATGGGTATGGATAAAGAAGTTAATCCCACCACATCGACATCTAAGTCAATATGAAATTTGATTGGATAGTTAGAATATTGTGCTCTGTTGGAATAACTCTTTTACTTAAAGCCAATTGAGTTGGTGGACATTTTAAAGAGAAGGAAGGTTGCTACTGTGTGCGTATAAGAGACTAAGTGGAAAGGGAAATGGCTACAGAGATTGGTAATGCAAAGTAATAAGTTATAGTATTATGGAAAAGATAACAACAAAACAAGTGTAGAAAATATTACAGAATAATGGTAATAAGGAAGGCTCAATGATAAAGTTGAAAATATTAAGAAAAATGGTCTCCTTAAAAGTAATGTTTGAAAAGGAGACAATCACTTCATTAATACTTAGGGCCACATATAAGATTAGATGAGGAATCCAAAGTTAAGTTTTAAGAAGATATTGATGCTTTAATATAAAGCATCAAAAGTGAGCAAATAGATTTTCATTAGAGGAGATTTTTTAATAGACGTGTAGGTGGAGATAGCAGCATTTTAACCAAGTACATAGGAGATACAGAAATTGGAATGAAAGGGGGAAGGCTATCTTGTAATTTGCTTTAGCTTATAATTTAGATTCAGGTAACACTTGCTTCAAAAAGAGAGAGTCATACTTAATTACCTTTAGGAGTGAAGATAACTAGAGACAAATAGACTTCATACTTATAAAAAAAGAAGGATAAGGCTCTGTATAAAGATTGCAGGGCTATACTAGGAGAGGCTTTAACCACCCAAGATAGAATATTGGTGTTAGATGTAAAGACCACCTAACATAGGCTAGTGGTATTAGAAATGAATACTGAGAGTGGTATGAAAAAAGGATAAGAGTTTCAAACAACCAAGAATTTTAGTGGTGGACACTGAATGACATAAATTAATAACTTCTAAGGAGAAGCTAGTGAAGGAGAATTAATGCCTAGAGCATAGAATCTAATGTTGAGATACTATGGAGGGAAATAATTGGATTGCATTAAGAAAATATCAAACAAAATGCAATGTATGCCTCAAATATGAAGGTACAAATAACTATTAAAGCAAAATGAGATTAGTATAGATGTTAACAAAAGCAATATGTGAGGGAGGCTTTTAAAGAATATAAAAAAACAAAGAGTGAAGCTAAGTAAACCATTAGCTTGTACCAAAAACTAGGAACACGAGAGGAGTAAAAAGATATGTAAAAGTCAGCATGGGAAAAAAAAAGCATATGGTCTAGATGGTATCCTTATAAAAGTGTTTTTAATATAGTTTTTATTAGGATTTTTGTCTTTTTCATTACTTAATTTTCAATTAGATTTGTTTATGTTATTAACAAAGCATCCTTAATCTTTACTAAGTTTGTTTCAAAGGGCTTTTATAGGTTTTTAACAGAAAATTAGCCAAGATTTACATCAAGGAAGGTTGGAGCTAAAAAATAGAAGATCAGAGTAAAACATGGCTAAGTCAGCAAGGTACATCATCTATTCGTGTCACACAATATGACCATGTTCTCAAGAAAATTGAGTTTTCAAGTCGGTCAAAAATACACGCTTAGCCCGTGTAAAGAGCTAAGTTTGGGTGTGTCTTTTGCATGAAGTTGCATAGGAATAGTAGAAGACCTACCTTGTTAGAGTTTCAGCTCTATTTGGTCAAAAGAAGACTTCTAATTGGGAAGAAATATTAAACTAAATTAGTTTCCTATTCAAATCATATTTCTTCCCAATTAGATCAACTAATTTCCTATTCAAACTAAAAGACAACCTACGAAGTGTATATAAAGAGAGATCTCTACAAAATTATTTTTTTATCTTTTCTATCTTAGATCTTTTGTTCTACACTCTTCGTAGTTTTCTTTCTTTTAGGACTTCGAGCATTCAAGTTTGTGTGAAAAATCAAGGAAGTCGTCCACACTATCCATTAATAGTTTTTATTTCTAAAATCTTAATCTTGTTTTATTTTCAATATTCATGTTGACTATGGAACTATTTACAAGTTTATTTGAGTTTGCTTTAATTACCATGTTGAACTAAATTCTCATACTAGGGATTTGATGTAGCTTAATTTCGATTCCAATTTATAATATTAAATTTATTTTTCTTTGTTCATGGTATAATTTATTATTGAACTTAATACTTTCAGACAAAACTTCTCCTCTGGATTGATTTATTTCATTAATCATTATCGAGACAATGATTTTTGATAAGAAAAATGTAATAAATTACATGAGAATAATAACTTGATGCGGAAGCTATATGGTTTGACTCATGGGAGATTTTCATAAGTTAATGACCTTAGGTTATGGATATGGTAGTTGGAGCTCAATGGGAAGAATTTTTCATAAGTGTTAATGAACCTCAGTTATGAATTCATAACAAGCCAATAAAACTTTAATGATTTAAGAGTTCATGGGTGATTGTGCTAATGGAAGAATGTTCGCTCCCCCCACTGAGCGTTTGCCCGAGGGAAAGATCTTGAAGGACGGAGTTTTAAATCCAATGTTACGGAAACTGGGGAGGGAACTCCTTACAGTTTTCCTTTTGGTTGGAATTATTAGATTATGGCTTGTTAGCCACTTTATTTGTGTCAAGCGTTGGCTCTTTGGAGCCTTTGACAGTGTTGTGGAGTAAGTCGTCACATTAATTTGTTTTTATTTTTGGGAAAAAGATAAAGGAAAAACCTGGCGTGAATTGACTCGATTCTTTCAGTTTTGCTTTTAGAGTACAATGCACTAGCCTGATCAAAATTCTTTAAAATACTCAAGAAATCTTGATCTGAGGCAAAGGGCCAGTCTGGAAATTAATTGGAAAATACTCAAGATCTTGATCGAGGAAGGCCAGTCTGGAATTATTGGGTTCGGGGACTAGATTTTCAGCTTCTTTCAAAATGAATCAATGGTTTGGGTACTTAATCGAGAAATCAAAATATTGTTTGCATGGATAATAGTTATAAGATGCATGAGCATACTAATAATGCATGGCAATATAAAAAATATAGTGTATAAAAGCATAATTAATTGAAAAGCGTGTAATTTGAAGGGGAGCCTAACTCTAGCCTCATTTATCGAGGATTCTAAATCGTGCAACATGTTCCCCTAGATCCAAACTGGTCAATTTGGTCGGGGGCTCGCTACCTAGGCTGAAATCAGTAGGTGTGCCTTCATACCTCATTTTTATGAGGATCAAGGGGCACGAAGTTCTACCATCAATTAGGATGATAAGATTTTGAAGGGCCACTCATGGAGTGGGCTTATAGGGTGCCAAACGGACCAGGCTTTGATTGAAAACCGATTTTGACGGTTTTGCCAATTGGACTGGCTTAATTGACAAAGATTAAGTTTAGCAATTTATACCCTAGGGTGTGTCACGCGGTCCGATTGGGCTCCACATTTGTAAAACGACCAAGGAGGTCAAGTCTTTCTCCAAAGTAGCAAAGGTAGGACACGAGCACCCTAGTATAGTTTTTTAATATTGTTAATTAACGAATTATTAATTAATCGAAGTAGCTTTAGTTTAAGGAAGACTAAAGTGTGAATGAAATTCGAAATGATCAACTTTTGAGAACCAAGTCGGGCTTTGGCTCAACTAAGAAAGAAGAGCAAAGTCAGACCCTAAAAACTTAGAATCGTTCGCAAAGGGAGAAATAGAGTCATTGAAACTTGAGAAGCGCTCAATAAAGCAACAAGAGGTCCTTGCAAATGAGGAGTGAAGTGCCAATTTATAGGCTGGGGCGGACCCTGGTTGGTACTGACCATGTCACATAGGTACCAACCATGTCAACATCGGTACCGATGAGGGCTGCTCCGAGGGGCTCAGTCGGTACCAGCAGACAGGTGATCAGTACCAATCAAGGCAAATTACTGTCTTGCCCTTTTGGCTTGATTTTTGAGTTTTCGAGCTTTTGGGAGTCTGTTCGAGGCTCAAACGATGTCTGATTGGGCTAATTCTTACGCCATTGAAACTGTAGCGGAATTTTCTAGGGCTCGATGCTAAAATCATGGTCAACAGAAGATAGGTAATTAGACCGAGTTAAAATAGTTAATAATACATCGGGAGAACTTGTTAGCGATCTTAAAGTTGTTTCTCCTTCTTGAACAATTAAAATTGAACTTGTTAGCGATCTTAAAGTTGTTTCTCCTTCTTGAACAATTAAAATTGATTATCAAACTAATAAAATAAATTGGATATAATTAAGTGAAGTCGAAATCCCTAGTATCCTTCTAATCATTGATTTCTTTTCATCAAATTATCTTGATTTTTTTTATTTCTTTTAAATTAATTTCGTTTAAATAATAGTAGGATAATACGATATTAGTACTTGATATACAATCTTTGTGGAAAGATACTCTATTCACACTTTATTACTTGTTGCGATTTCTTGCGAATTTAAGTGTCAATGCCACCATAAGTATCATACACAAAGAAGGAAAGGATCTACGGTTCACAAATTTAGATCATATGCAAAGAAGGAAAGGAGTCAAACACAAACATAAAATAATGACAATAAAGGTGACAAAAAAAACAAATTTAACATTTGAATCCACATTGAAATGAACTAATTTTTAAAACATGTAACTCGGAGAGGCTTCAACACTTCACTTCCAAAGGGAAGCCTTTATTACATATGTAATATCCATTCTGCAGTTGCTAATAGGAAAGGTACAACAGAAGGAAAAGTATTACAGGAAAAGTAAACTTGCAAAATATTTTATTTGTTTTCCTGGAAAAATGTTTCTGATACACCATCAAGGCAAGCACAACTTCAAATTCAACAGGAATGTAAAACTCAAGATGCAGTATTTGGACATAGCATGATCAAGAACCCCATCCACCCCCACCCGGCGTTAAAATCTGCAAAATTTCACCTGCCTGCACCTCAACAGTGTTCTTACCACCAAGGTAAACTTTCCGTTTATCTTGTGTAATCAGGTAATTAGCCCCACGAGCCCCATCTTTCCCTCCTTTTAGTCCTCTTGGTGCGTGTACTCGCCTCTCTGAAAGAATGCTCACAACAACTGGTCGTCTAAATTCTATCTCCCTTATAATCCCATCACCTCCTTTGTGAAGTCCATCTCCCCCACTGTTCTCTCTAAGTCCAAACTTACGCAAAATGACAGGATACCTCTGCTCAAAAATTTCTGGATCAGTCATTCGGGTATTGGTCATATGACACTGGACTCCACTTGTCCCATCCCAGCTTGGACCAGCCCCGCTTCCACCGCCAATTGTTTCATAATAACCGAAAGTGTTATCTCCAAAAGTGAGATTGTTCATACAACCCTGAGAGCAAGCGCAGGCCTGAAATGCAGTAAGGACAACATCAGTTATTCTCTGAGATGTGAGAACATTACCTCCAACCACAGCAGCCTTGTCACTTGGAGAGAGGAATGAGCCAGGAGGAATATGAATTTTAACAGGGGCTAAGCAACCCTGATTAAGAGGAATATCAACATCAACCAGACAGCGTAGGCAGTATATGACTGCTGCAGCTGTTACTGCTTCTGGTGCATTCCAATTCCCATATACCTCAGGACTAGTCCCACTAAAATCAAAATTCGCTTCACCTTTATCAGAATCAATAGTAAGTTTTAGATGTATCACAGAGCCATCATCCATGTATTCCTCTTCCTCGATTGTCACAGAATTGTTCTCCCGAAACACGGTTGGCTGATTTGAAACTCTTGCAGCAACTGACTTGAGCATCTCTCTCACTGCTTCTTCTGCATTAAGCTGCACATAGGTCATGTATGCCTGAACAGTATCTAAACCATACTGCTCAATCAGTTCTTTGATAAGGGAAATTCCTCTCTGGTTTGCTGCTACTTGTGCATGTAGATCTGATAAATTGTCTTGAAGCCGGCGGGTTCCTGGGATTTTATAAGTCAATTCATCAGAACCTGGGAATTTGAGAAGTTTGATGATTCCTTCTTCTTGAAAAACTCCACTTTCCACAAGCTTAAATGCTTTGATTGCAGCTCCTTCTTCCCATATGGACTTTGAAAACGGAGGCATACTTCCAGGAGTAATACCTCCAATCTCTGCATGATGTCCTCTACTTGCAACAAAAAACACCAGTTTTTCCTTGTCAAAAACTGGTGTAATGACAGTAATATCAGGAAGATGGCTACCTCCAGCACAAGGATGATTGGTAACCAATACATCACCTTCCTTCAAATTGTCACCCCAATAATTGAGCTGCCATCTAACTGTACTTGACATAGCTCCAAGGTGCACAGGGACATGGGGAGCATTAGCAACTAGTCCTCCATCAGGACCAAAAAGAGCACAGGAGAAATCTAGCCTTTCCTTGATATTTGTTGATATGGAAGTTCTCTGGAGGGTCCGTCCCATTTGTTCAGCTATCCCCATAAACCTGTGATTGAAAATTGACAGCTGAACAACATCTGCAACGTTTTCAGCTACTTCCTCAGTGCTCATATTGGAACCAATTTCTATTTTAATGTTACCATATTTAGTTACAACAGCATTGCAGTTGGGTTCTACTATCACAGTACTATTGCCATTCATGATGATTGAAGGGCCAACTATAATATGTCCAGGCCCCAGATTCTCAAGCTTGAAGAGAGGTGCATCATGCCATCCATTCCTGAAGTAAACCTTGTAGTGGCCTTCCATTTTTGGGGAACTAGGAGTGGGTTCTAGGACTTGTGGCTTTAGTATATTAGTGACGCCAATACCACGAACTCTTACATCACAGATAATAATATTCCTGTTTTGCAGTTTGAATCCATACTCCTGCTGGAATAACTTGACAAATTCCACAGCATAGTCGCCTGCTGATCCATCTTCATTTACATGTCTCCTTACCATGATAGAAGTATCCGTACCTTCATACCTTAAATTTAAATATGTCTCTGTTGTAATGTTTTCCCCTCTAAATCCTTGTGCTTGTAGCTTCTGCTTTACCTGCTTTACTAACATATCTTCTCTGCAGGAAGCCTCCAAAACAGATTCAGGACCATATACAGCAGAATAGGGCTCTTGTGCCTCTTCTACAACATCTGCCAATCCCATACCATAAGCACTTAAGATACCACAGAACTTGTGAATGAGTACTTCTTTCATTCCCAATGATCTGGCAATTGCACAAGCATGCTGTGGCCCAGCACCTCCAAAGCAAGCAAGAGCATGGCTTCTTGTTTCATGGCCTTTCATCTCGGTTAACTGCCGTATAGGCCGGCACATCGTTTCATTTGCAACATTCACAAAGCCCAGGGCAATCTCTTCCACTGTCATGTCCTTTGCAGATGCATCTTGGCTCTTCCTATATGAATTTATTTGTTTTGCAAGCTTCTTAAATTCCTCTCTGGTTGCCTCAATATCTAAAGGCTGATCTTCGTGGGGACCAAAAATGGATGGGAAATAATCAGGAATAACAAAACCAAGAATAAGATTAGCATCAGTGACTGCCAATTGTCCTCCTTTCCTATAACAAACAGGACCTGGGTGGGCACCCACTGATTCTGGTCCTACACGGAAAGCACCAAATTGGAACTTCAACTTTGATCCACCACCAGCAGCAACAGTATTTATATCAAGCTGAGGTGCTTGTATTATGGCCCCAGCAATCTGGGTTTCAATAACTTGTTCATAACTCCCAGCATACCTGCTTACATCAGTAGATGTACCTCCCATGTCAAACCCAATAAGGGGCTTTTCTGTTTCAAGCCCAAAGAGGGTCTGTGAGTAACCAACAACTCCACCTGCAGGACCTGATAAAACAGCTTTATGTCCTGAAAATCTACTTTCAGGTGCAAGTCCTCCATCTGATTGCATAAATAGAACATTCACCTTCCCCAGCCCTTCATCGAATTTAGAAATGAATCCTGACAAGTACTCTTTGATCACAGGGGTTAAGTAAGCATCCACACTAGCTGTTAGACCCCTAGGAACAGCTCGAACCATGGGACTCAAAGCTGAAGATAAGGAAACATGTCTGAAACCCAAACTCTCAGCTAATTTTTTCACAGCTATTTCATGGTGTGGGAAAGTATAAGAATGCAACAATACAACAGCCAAACAGCTAATCCCTTTATCTAAGAGACCTTTTAATAGAGGCTTCAATGCTTTCTCATCAAGTGGCTTCACAACCCTGACAAGCTCTCCAGACACTCCTTTAACAACTGATGCTGAAGAATTTTGATCAACTTCCTCTGTACCAAGAACAAGCTGGACTCTCTCATCAACCTCTATGACCTCTTCATAAAGATTTGAGGGTTTTGATACAGTGAGGTCAAAGATATTGGGGCGGGCCTGGTTACCAATCTGCAGCAGATCCTTGAAGCCATGAGTCACAAGAAGAGCAATCCTTTCGCCTTTTCGCTCCAAGAGTGCATTTGTTGCCACAGTCGTACCCATCCGTATCCATTCAATCTTATCAGTGGGAACTTTCGAATTTCGTGGAATTTTCTCTCTTGTATAATCTTCAAGAATCCTACGAATCCCTTCTACTGGAGCATCATCATAATTTGCTGGGTCAACAGACAAAAGTTTCAAAACTCGCCCATCAGGCTGGCCTGGGATTTCAGCATAAACATCAGTAAAAGTGCCTCCTCTGTCGATGCAAAATCTGAGCTTTTCCTCATTGATACTCCCCATTCTAATCTCAAGGCTCAGAAATCAAATTAGCTAGGAATCCTGAATAAGTCAAAACTGGAAGGAATTCAAAAGGTAAGAAAAAAGTATCATTCTAGTAAGCTCAAGAATCAATTGACCATAAATTGCAAGCATGCAAATATGGTTTTGTGCATGAGATCTGACTAAGCACTGTGATCAAAATATATAAACTTCGGAATTTCAAGCCTCTAAAGTGAAATTTTAAGCCGATTAATCATTAGTGTTTTTAGTGAAGCTATATTTGATTAATAGAAGGTTTTCCTAGAACAACTGGATTCTCAAAAAGAAACAAATTATGGAATTCCTGGAATCCACTCTTGACAAGTATTGGAGTCTTAAAAATTGTATGGAAATTTATATCTTTCATTGGACGAATTCCAAATTACATAGGCATACTATTATTACTCCAATACCGAATGTTATAAGATACTAACATGAGAATTCATTCACAAACGAAATGAATCCATATTTATTTTGTTAAGCTAGCAAAGCAGCCAAGTTCGGAAGCAGAAGTCACGGTTCTAATACCAATAAAACCATAAAACGATTCAATCTTGACGAAATGAAAATTTACCCAGTCAATCAATATAGAAAGAGCCAAAAGAGAAATCAGAAATGATTTTGTGAAAGTTATATGAACAAATGTAACTAAAACAAGCAGAATATCTAAAGCTTACTGTAATCACCGCAAATTTAAGAGATAAAGGAAAACAGAGAGTAACTGGTACCTGAATGAAAGAGGCAGAGTCTGACGAGAATCAACTGGAAGGCATAAACAGCCAAGATACAGTCCTCCTTTTATGAAAAATATATTCATTAGTATTTTATTACGGATAAATATTATTTTTAGTCCTTAAAGTTTGACAGAAATTCATTCCAGTGAGAGCTAATCAATATATATATATATTATATATATATATATATATATATAATATTTATTTATAAAGCATTTTTTTTCCACGTATGACATATCCACTTTGATATTTTAATTTGCCATATGATATAATACTCCAATTAGACTTTTACTTAGTATGGTTTGATTCAAATTTATTTATAATTAGTGTTTCTGGTTTAATTTGGTTTGATTATTCAATATATTAATGTATTGGTTAGGTTTGCATTTATTTTGAATTAGTATTTTTGATTTGATTTGATTATTTAATGTATTATTTTGGTTTGAATTTATTTTATATTAGTGTTTTTGATTTGGTTTGATTTGATTATTTAATATATTAATGACTTTAAGTAATAATTATTGATTATTAGTTTTAAAAAAATAATAAAGTTTAATAACAAATGTTTCTGCGTATTAATGGCTTCAAATTTGTGAAGTTAAAAAACATTTCAACGCTTTATTAGTGTATTAATGTTTGATTTGTTTATCTGTGTAATTTTATTAATATTTCAGTTTAATTTTTTTTAAATGGTGTAATAATACTTTTAAATTTTAAATTGTTCACTCTCAAGAAACACTTTAACTTTCTTAAAAATACTATATATATAGGTAGTATCACTATATTCTTATGTATTTTTGACAAAAGTGTATTGATTTCTCCTTTTAAATATATTATTCGTTTTTTCTTAAAAGTTCAGAATTTATTTGCATTTCAGCTATTTCCATTAATGGGATAAGTAGTAATTACTCAAACTTTTTTTTTGTCTCCTTTTTAAAAATTTATTTAACATGTTTTTGCAGTTAAACTATCAAATACAAGTGAAAAGTATGATGTAATTGAAAATTTGAATACAAATAGAAATGATTGGAAAATAAAAGTGAGGATATCACGATTTTGCAATGTGTCTTTCAACAATAGTAGAGATTTTACAAGTACAAATAGTATTGCTGGATGAAAAGGTTAAATATAATATTTTACACTTTTATTATTTGCATAACCAATTAAAAATAATGCTATCATTTTAAATATTTATTCGTTTTTTTATATTTCTTATTATAAGGAAATTATATGCTATCACTTTATGACTTAATTCCTTTTGTCTAATGATGTAAAAACCTTTTACATAAACTATTGGTTTTAATTCAGCTGCAAATTAATCTCTTTTTCAAATATTTGTACTAACAGTTCAGTTCTTTTTTATTTTTTTAAAAAAGCCCGAAACTAAAGTTTATACAATGGAAAAAAATAAATATTGTAACTTTAAATTTTTTTAGATGAAAAATTAAGGATAATGTCACGACCCATTTCCATGGACCGGACCGGCACTAGGACCTGGGTGGGCTTAAGGCCCCCGAAGCCCGTAGTAAGCCTATATTATACAAATCCACGAACCAGGCCAACTAGGACTGGTGCAGGCTTAAGGCACCCCGAACGCCTAAGTAAACCCCTTATATTATACAAATCTATCATTTACTATTCTAACTGGAACAGGCCAATAATTTATTTCAATATGTATCACTAGTTACCAAGTTCATCTCAACCCACTAGAATACAATTCGAACTCCTTACTCTGTACATCTTCCTCTCATCTTATTTATCGTTTACAGTTCTTCTATACTTATGTCTGCAACTCCATAAGGAGTTATTTTTCTTTCGTTTTCTATACCTGGAAAATAAACTTAGAGCAGGAGTGAGCGCCAAATCAATGAGAATAGCGTTAGATTACCCTCTCATCCCCACAACAACTCTACAGATTGTAAATATTTTCTTATTTGTTATCAATTAGAATTTATGATTCATGCCAAGTTGTCCACATAAATGCAATAACAACAGCACCACAATTTATTATTCACCCTTCACATTAATCACATTCAGTTGGAAAATTAATGTTCATGTACCAACCCTTAAAATACGCCAAGAAGCCTTCCTCACCACATGGTCCCCTCTCTACATGTCACACCGGAGCCCGATCCCCCCTTCACGATCCAACTGGTTCTAATCCTCACCTGACCAGTCCTCTCATTGTTTTTTTCCATTCTCTCTTTTTCTTTTCCATGACCAAACAGCGAGCAATCACGCTGTTGCTCTCCATCCTTATCTATAATCTCAATGTGCCTTCACAACAGTGACGCCACCCTGCGGGCTACAATCAGATCTAGGATTATCAGAGTGCGCAACAACAAAGCATGCCATTGTGGTTTTCCTTTAACAATCCAATTCATTATCGATGACCACAGGGGCGCCGATCTCCCATTTTCCCGGCCGCGGCTCAATATCAATATATATCATATTAGGATCACATATCACACTTCAGAGACCGTACCTCACTAAACCCCATTGCCCACTTCATACCCAAATCCACCACAAACAAGGCACGAGCAGATATTTCACACATCCACAGAGTAATCAAGCATTATTAAATATCACACAATTCGTGCATCACAAATTTGACAATAATGCATGATAAAATCTTGCCGTGATCAATCGAATTGCAGGCGAATAGGGCTAATTATCTAAACCAATACTCACAGTCTATTATTGTCCTTATTATAAAGGACTTGCTATCATATAGCCACATCTTCAGGTTTTCTCAGCATTTTGTATTCTATTATACCTTTTTAAAATCAACAAGGGAAAATTCTAAAGTATTTAATCAAAACTTTACATTCTTTATTTAGTTTCGGTCACCGGTCATTTCATCACTTGTGTATATATCATATAATTCTATGGGTCTTTCAATTGCTAAAAATTTTCTACGTATTACTTCCTCGAATAAAATTTCAATTTTTACTAATTTTCTACCGAACTCTATTTTACTCTCTACGACAATTTATTTATTTTTCTACCGAAATTCGGCGCATTCCCTAAATAATGGACTATCCAACTGTTAATATCAACAATTCATCATAATAATTTCACCACACAGCCCATCCATCGGGCAATATCATCAAGTCAATGTCATCCCAGTCCCTCCATATTTCCATATCAACATAAATTCTATAAGATGTTTCTTTGTTTCATTCTATATTCATCTATTCCTAACAATTTAGTTTATTCACGAATTTAATTTTAATTATTCAATATAATTTTATATAATCAAATGGTCAGCAACACTAAACTTAAAATAAATTAGTAATCTAACCAAATTAATATTCATATTAACATAAATCAAAAAATTGCTATATCAAATTAATTTAATCAAGATTACTAAAATCGATTTAAACTTCACTTAAAATTTACAAAAAATCAACATTGAATCAATCTAAATTATCTTACAAATAAAACTTACACATGACTAATTTAATTAAACTACCCATGTAATAAAAATTAATTATATTACACGAAACAATGCATTTAAAATTACATATTATACCCCAAATATAATTTTTTCTTGTTCGAAATTTACTGCTAGAATCGAAATTTCCACGACGGCCGACGCGAGAGCAGTGGCGTTGGTTTCAGTCGTAGCCCGCTGGAGCCACGACTAAGCAAGCGTGGCGAGATGCCGCGACGCATTTGTCGACCGACAACGGCAGAGAGTCTGGGTCTGACTTGTGCGCGGCACGATTCCTGACCCAGGAAGTGCGGACGCGCTCGACGTGACGGTGACGGGAGGCGCTGCGACGTGGAGCGGCTGGACGTGGCGTTGGGGCTGCGTGCGGTGGCGCTCGGTGGTCGATCGCCTCTGCTGGAGCGGCTGGAACACAACGCCGACGCAGATCCAGGGAAGAAGAAAGGAAAAGGAAAGAAAGAAGAAGAAGAAGAAGAAGAAGGAGAAGAAGGGAGGGGAGGTGGACGAGGAGCGGCGCTGCTCCTTGCATGCGCGAAGAAGAAGAGAGGGAGAAAAAAAAATAAAAAGAAAGGGAGTGGTTCTAGAGGTTTCAAGACCATTCCGGTTCGATTCGAACCGGTTTGGTCCAACTCAATGATTTAGCTCGAGTCTTATTTGATTTGTAGGTTTTTCACTTGGTTTTCAGATTATCCGTGTGGTTTTCGAAAAAATCGCTTTGATTCCCGAGTTTGGTTTGATTTAATTTAATTATTTAGTTAGGTTAGAAAACATTCCCTTCATTTACTCAATAATAATAAAAAATAGTAACAGTAATAATATTTGATTTTAGTTTATATACCAATTACATACATAATCATATATTTAAAATCAATTAATAATTTGTATCCTATTTTACTTCATTCTATCATTTTTAAACATTGTCCAATTCGAAAATTCCTAATATCCTTTTTGGCTGTTTCCCCAATTTCAAATTTGGATGATCATTCAATATAATGACTTTTACTAAGCAATTGCCACTTATTCGACTGTACCAACCCCATACTATCAAAAATTCAGACTTTTTGTTTAATAAAAAATTCCAACAAGTTTTGAAAATAAAAAATTGGATATTTCAATCTCCCCCTTAAGACAATTCGTCCTCAATTGAAATCTAGTGGAAAATCAAGACTGGGTGCATGGGAAATTTAATATTGCAGGAAATTGCTGTTGCTTCCAATACCAAAGAGACAGCTCAAAAGCGAAAATACATATCGAGAAAACAAAGTGAGTGGGGGTATTCTGATTGTACTTCTACCGCCAATTATTATATGTAGAATAAAATTTCGTTCAAGCTACATAGTACCACCTAGCTGAAGCTTATTTACTTTCATTTGAAAATTAATTTATTGCGCATTCTTTTACGAAAACCAATTATATAATTTACACAAGGCAAAACAATTTGACCTTCAATTTCTTTATAATAAGAATTGATTCATTTAATTTACATATGTTATGACTAAATCGTTTACTAATTAAGGTTGAGAAATTGTTATTTTAATCCAAAATTTTTTTTTTTTTTTTTTTTTAAATTCTCTTGTAATGTTCGTTGTCTATAATATCGCAGGGTTATTCGAACTCACTTTATTAGTTCTTTTTATACAAGTTCTATTCTTATAATATTTTTATGGTACACTAG